GTATGACATGGCACCAATCGAGACTTGACGCGTTTGAGACACAAAACATCCTTCAAAATGGTTTGGACTGAGCCAAATGATATTCCAACACTATCAGCGAGGTCTCTCATTGTCAGTCGACGATTTTCAAGCACCAAATCTTCGATTTTTTTGGACGTGGCCCTCGTCGGTAGACGTTGATGGTCGTCCAGAGCGCGGTTCGTCTTCAACGCGTTCTCGGGCCGCTTTGAACTCGTTGTACCACTTATAAACGTTTTTTTGTGCCATAGTTTGATCACCAAAGGCCTTCCGCAACATTTTCAACGTGTCCGCACAAGAATATTCGTTCCGCAAACAAAATTTGATGCAAGTTCTTTGCTCAACAAAATCATCCATTGTAAAAATCGAAAAATTCACTTTTGGTCGTTTACTAAAACACGTGTAACTCGGAGATAATTAAACCTTTTAACAAACAGACGCTTGGCAATTGTTATAGACAGTCCTACCAACCTAGGAAAAAAACAATTGCCTGCCTTCCTAATGTCCGGGAGTTTTAAATGACAATTTCACCTTACTTTTTGATCACAGTAGTATATTTCCAAACGTATTTCCATAGTTCGCGAAATTTCATTCTACTCGCGATAAATTGTTCCAACCGTTCGCGTTAATTATTGTATCTTCTGGAAGATTTAAATATGGTGGCGAGTAAATGCAGTTTACTAGTTTTCTATTCGATGAAATTTTTCGAGATACGGTGAAACTCCATTTATCCGATATGCTTGGGGGGACGTGACTGGTCGGATAACTGGATCTGCCGGATAATAAGAGTCCACGGATTATTCCCTCTTTCGTTGTTTATCCGTTCATATAATTGGAATTAAGTTTCATATAACTGGAATTTGCTGCACATTACTTTGAACACAAGGGGAAGCATTAATTTTACCATCGTGTATCATGCGTTCGTATGATATATTTCATCGAATTACGATTTATACATAATTTGATATAACCGAAGTAATATTAGAAGTCGCAAAAGTATGATATAAATATAATTTTGCGAGCATAGAATTATATAATTGCGAGTATAGAGGCAAATATTTATTGTCACTATTTAAGGATTTTTTTGAACATGGGAAATATACAGTGCCTTAACCATGTAAAAAATCTAATTAAGGCACTGTATATTTCCCATGTTCGCTTAAAATTGTGACTCATGCCTTCTTTTAGAGCGTCAAATAATTTCTTTGTAATCGATACAAAGCACCACTCTTTCTCTCTTCTCATTTCATTTGCGAAAAGACATACTGAGAATATACAGTAAATTTTCTCCCTAATTGACGCTCATCTTTAACACAAAAATGGACAATTTGAGAGGAGAAGATATGATTATTCGAACCCTGCGGCTCGTTTTTATGGTTTTATGACAACTATTAATAGTTATAGTTTTATAACAACTATTAATAGTTACAGTTTTATAACAACTATTAATAGTTATAGTTTTATAACAACTATTAATAGTTATAGTTTTATAACAACTATTAAAACGAGCCGCAAGATTTCTTCCCAAATTATCCATTTTTGTTTCCGAACTGAGGCTCAATTAGGGAAAATTTACTCCATTATGGTTTTAAATCCAAACGTTCGCTGAGGAAAGTTTATATGTTTCTAGAACGCTAGGTACCGCAAATTTTGCTAGCTATTATTTCGGTTCGACTCTGTTCGAACTGTAAGCTGACAAAAATTTAACTTGACAAAGAATGTCAAAAACCTAGGAACTTGGAATTTACAAAACTTGAAGACTGTGAATTGCTAAACATTGAGAACGGTGAATTTCCAAAAACTGAGACTGCAAATGTGCGAAAAATTAGAACTACGAATTTTTTTGAGACTGTCTGATTTTGTATGAAGAATCGCAGTCTAATTATAACACATTAT